AAGTCTATCAAAGCTTGGCATGCAGGCAACCAGACCAGATTGACGATGCCACATCAATACCTGCATACCTGTGAAGTATGAAGTGCAATCCCAGCAGAGCAGAAAATGCAAGGGTTTTGGAGTCCAGCACCACCACACCACCAGCTAGTTTGTTACTGAGCATAGTACACGTAGAGCATGCACCTTTGACAAGGAATGGTACATATAGGCTAAACCACAGATGCCATTCTCTCTTCCAGTTCTTCATCATAGTCAGACAAAAAGGCAGCACAGAACTTTTTATGAAATGTTATGCCATGGTCCATGGTATTTAAACAAGCCACATCCCAGCATTGTCTCACTGTTCCATGTAGTCCCACTGCACTGCAAAAACAAATAACCATCAATTCCGCAAACAAAGTTATATGGGTCTGTGTGAGTGCCTGAAAAATTCAATATATTTGGGAAAAGTCCATTGAGTTTTCCACAATTCAATCCAATCCAGTATCACAAATAAAAAATCACCATAAAACCAATAAACCAAACCAGGAATTCAGGATCAAAATCACAGGGTGTATACACTGTTCAAAATAGGGCAGCACAATATGGAGAAAAAAAGGATATTGTGATTATTTTGCCAGATACTGTGATTGCGGCCTTTAACTCCGCCATGATAACTCCTGGAGACACTGTGACTGGAAATAAACAGTCCACTGGATTATTCCTCCTTCTGACAGACTCCAGAGAAGAGACTTTAAGACTAGTAGCTACAGTATTTTTTATTGTGTATTGTGACACTCCCGGTGAGTGCAAAATAAAGCCAGTCTGAATGGAAGATGATACAGCTGAACTCATGTAATTCAAAATTTGGTGGGGACGTGGGGAAATTTCTATTATCTATGATGAACATATGGTCAGTGGTACACATTAAGAAATGTATGACGAGTGCTATCAAAAGGAAACTAAACTAAAACTATAATAAACTAACAATAAAGGAACAACAGAATATCCTTCAATATGGGTATCAAATAATTCATTGAAAGTTTTTTATAAACTTTAATTTAAAGGATAAATAAGTGATCTATATGCAATAAGAAATAATTTGTTTAAGTATCTTTAAATATGTATTTAAGTTTAAGTTAACTTGTCATGTCATGTGTCATGTTTGTCAGTCCACTGGCACTGACTCGCTCACTGAAATAAGCCTGGTTTAACTGGTAGTCTTGCTTTATGAAACATTGTTTCAGTTTGGATGAGATGACCTGTACCTGGCTACTCGGAGGGCAAAGAAAATCGTTGTAAAAACATATAAACCACAGTGGAATACTTTTACTGTTTAATTTAACCTTTATTTTACCAGGAAATCCCATTGATCAAAAATAAGATCGGTTAAGATCTTCCTTTATTGATACCCTGTAGTGGAAATTCAAATTGGCACCGCAGTACATGGAAATGTAGTGCAAAGAGTTAAGAACGATAATAAAAATACAATGAAATATAATAAAATAATAAATAATAAAATATAAACTACATGCTATAAACGATAAAGTAGAATATGGTAAGCCAGTGTATATCTGTGCATGTGCAATGTTTCTGAAGTATTGTGCAATAAAAGAGTTGTTCTGGACAGGTTAAGAGTCTCTGTCATTGCAGGTGGGAGGTACAGGGTGCTGTGGCGTTGTGGAGTTAAGTGAGACCTGGCCACAGTAGCCAATCACATATTAAAATACAACATATACAACATAATATACAAAAATCCACCACGAAGTGGAACTATTCAAAGACAATGGCCTCAAAAACAACCACAAGCCTGCCACCACATTCTTTATGATGTCCTTAAATTCATCAGTGGATATAAATGTGTCTAATTTTATATCTTTTTGCAAATAATTCCTTGTGCAAGGTGCATAGCAAGAAAGAAAATGCAGTCTGTCAGAGCTGTCAAAACGTGGGGTAGGTTAAAAGCAACCACTTTGAGGAAAGTAGCTCGCAACTACCAGAGACAGAGGAGGTTACAGAGATATCCTGGAAGTTTACCCAGCATCGCTTTATAAAATGTACCAGTGCTGTTGCCTGTGAGTGGTCAGCGATGTCCAACCCACCAAATCATAAAGAATGCAATAATGCACACTGAATCAAGACTGTGAAATGGGCGAGGCAGCATGCATATACAATATGTCACTGTAAGCAATCACAGACAAAAAATAAGTCCACAAGTTTTATCTTAGCATAGAAAAGGGAAGCGAGATTAGCCATGGTGCACTTCTAAAGAGACAGGACCCTGTCTTCTGTTTGGCAGCTTATTGTCCTTGGCACTGTTGTTAGTTTCTTTCTTTCATGGCTTTCTCAGGCAGAAGCTGGAATTCATGTAACCAAGAACATGCACAACACAGGCTCAACCCTGCAGCACTGTGCCACAGCCGCATGCAGACTGATGTACTGTCACTCAAAAAAACCATACACTCCTAAGCAACAGCATAAACAAACACAACAGGGTTGACCAAAAAATCCCACTGTACAAAAATAAATGAATAAATGAAAGTACGTCCTTCTGTTAATGCTTTGCATATTATGTTTCTATAAAACGGGGGCCCTGAGGTGCAAAACACAACAACATTGGACAAAAGCACAACAACAAAACAGCACACAACAACATTTCTGAAATTTCAATTCAGATTTTATTCAAGATGCTCAGTGTATACTGTATATACTGTATGGCAGTAAACTCCCACTGATGCACTGACCGGCCATGGATATATCCTGGGATGCTACTGGGACATGATTTATGCCTGGGCCTTTGCTGTGGCAGGTCACTGTTACTTCCTGTTTTCTGCTGCTGGAAGTGTTGTTGTGCAAACGTTAAACTGAGCTTGAAAGGATGGGGAGGGGTTTATCCATTTGGTTCCATGGTAGTAGTTGTAGAGTTTGGGTACTTAAGTCCTCATTGACATTTGTGCTTTTTAGGTTCTCAGCTTCATTCTTGGTTTATTGTAGGCAGAGGTGGCAAAGGTACACACATGCTTTACTTGTATGTACAGATGTACAATTACTTCTGTAAAAAAGTACTCTGGTAAAAGTAGAAGTACTGCTTTAACTTCTTTACTCAAGTAAAAGAGAACAAGAGCAGGCTCTGAAATATACCCAAAGTATGGAAAAGTACTCTGTTGGTTTCTCTGAAACCTGCTCTCTTACCAACCCATTGCTGCGTTATGGGCATCTTTGACCTTTGACCACTTTGAGCCAGACTAAATAATTGTTTTTAAATTGAATTGTTTTTTTTATTTTAATTGTATGTGAAGGAGTAGTTTAAATTGATATGAAACAAGTAGAAAGAAATAATAAAAAATAATCATATTTTTATTATATGTCGGGCCAGAGAGAGGGAGATGGAGGGCTGGAAAGGGCCCCGGGCTGGCCGTTGGAGATCCCTGTTCTTTCTCCATTTCAGGGTTAGTCAACTCAGAGTTCAGTTGGTTAAATAAACTGGTTGAACAAACTGCCCCCTGGTTTATTGTTGCATTGTTTTTTTAAATGCTGTTTTATCTGTTCAGTCATTGTGCTTTCTGACACCTAAAATTGTGTTTTTTTGTAATGTTTTGCACCTCTGGGCTACCTTGCCATGAACTTTATACAGTCTACTACTACTACTACTACTACTACTACTACTGTCATTCTAGGTCGCCAACACCTTTGTGACTTGCTGAAGTAAATGGTAAATGGACATTGAGGAGGATCTGTTGTCAGAAATGGAACATAATATTCATAGGTATGTTTTCATTGGTGTATCATTTAATTACCTTAGAATGAGCCGTTTTTAACTAAATTGAAATTATCTATCTATCTATAGTTCTGTGTTTTTTCATCTCTTCCACGGAGTCCGCTATGTTGAACTGCCATCTTTCTACAGTAGCCCAGAACGGACAAACCACACACTGGCTCTAAATAGGGGCATTTTCACGCATTTCGTGGCCACCGTAGTTCTCGTTTGCACAGGGAGGTTGCTTCTTATATATCATCTCATCTAGTCACTGTACTTTGTTACTTTAGTGGTGGTGCATTTGCATGTTTCTTCTCCTTGGTAAGAACAGAATTCATTCCAACAGACAGCATCACACTGACATCTAGTGGAATAAAGCCAGTGTGAATCCGTGCTGTGTTGTCAGAATGATTTTGCATACGGCAAATTCAAAAAGGCACTGCAAATCCATAAAAACATTGTTTAATTAAGAGACTTCAAAACCTGTCTTTAATGGAAAATATGTAGCAGCATTTTATTTTAAAGTCAAATAGAAATCTTACATTTTGGTGGTGGGGGGGGGAGATGCAGGTTGGGATTAAAATAAAAGTTAAATACAATCAATATCTTAGCTTCTGAAGCCTGGCTGGTTCACTTGTCCATCTAGGTAGCCAAGCTACTGGTCCCTCGGCAAAACATGGCCATGTTTTGCCCAATAAAATGGCATGAGTAGAACCAAAAACAAGAGTAACACACTATTTCATACACATACACATACATACATACA